TCTGCTTATATACAGGAAGCAGATCACATTCCTTAAGGAAGCTACTCAGCTGCCCACAGTAGATTCCACCATGGAGTTGATTACCAGTCTCATCTTGGGTAATACTACATCCAGCTGCCCAGCCATTCAACCCGACCCAGCCATGTTGACACACAAACAGAACTACCACATAGGTGTATAGAATTCTGATGTTGGGATTGGTTAGTTTGGCCACTCTGCCAGGCTCAAAAGGAGCCCTCATAGAAGCAGAAAAAATCTCTCTCTGCCAGCTGGGAGATGGGAGAGACATGCATTACTGAGAGAGAGATACCGAGAGACACATGCTACTAAGAGAGTGATGTGCTACTGAGACTGACGGCTGCTGAGACGGCTGGCTGCAAGAGACTGAATGTGTTCCTGAACTTGAATTGTAGCCTGTTGTTCCCTAATAAGCCCCATAATCTGTGAGTTATGTGTGGCCACTGCAGCAAATTATCAAACCCAGTAGAGAGGTGGTGGGTGCTGAGGAACAGTTGGTGTCAGGGTTGATGAAAGGGCTGGAGGCAGGCAGTATGTCTGGCCTTGCAGGAATAGTCCTTGGGCTACTGATGGTGATTCTGTCTTCCTCTTGTGGGGTTAGAGGAAGTCAGAAGATGCAGCCTCCCTGTCCCTTTGGCAGCCTCTCACACTGGTTATCTAAGGCCCAAGAAAAAATGGTGTTGTCTGTTTCACTCATTGCTGCATATCTAACACCTGGCACAGTTCCTGGGTACATAGCAGGTGCCCAATAAATATTTGCTATTGAATGAATAAATATATATCCTTGAGTCACATGTGAGTATAGCATGAAGGAGCCAGGTGCATAGTGGAAATTCTTGTAAAGTTCTATGCTTTCTTTAAAAAATCCATATGTATTTTGTACTTTATGCTAGAATATATAGACTGTTTTATTATAAGAATGCTTTACCTCAAAGTCCTTAAATCAAATTGATAGTCCAGGAATATATTTGATTGCCCATAGCCATCATAATCAGTATAAATCATAATCTGAGAAGCACAACCTTAAGAATTAGGAGCTTCCTTTTATCTTGATAGAGTTTATTAGGCTATTGCCAATTAGGGGAGGTGGAGACAACATTAGGCTACCCAGGTGTTGGAGCATACAGATACATATGAGGCCTACAAAGGTGTAGATATCAAATGGATAGTAAATAGAGTGCTTCTAGCTCTAAATATATTGTGAGTATATTTGGAAAATAAGCTTGCAAGAAAATGAACTTTTAAATTTCATGACTCAAAAGCAAGTTAATAGTATGAAGATTGGATTCTTTTTGTCTTAGGCTGGAGAATTCGAGAGAAAGTGACCAGGGAAAATGGAAATATTAAAGTTATCAGTGAACAATCCTTTCCCTGAAAACAAGAGACAGAGTGCCCTGATCTTGCTCTTTTTCCACTGTCGGTATCAGTCTTAGGCAATTATTATGCCTAATACAAAAAATAAATAAATAAATAAATTTCACTAGCAAATGGCAGCCATTTAATAAGCTCCTCTTAGTTCTCTTTTTCCTTCTGCTATTTTCCACCATGGTCATTTCTCCACTCTCCCATTTTTCCTTTGTTCCCTTGAGGCTTGATAGTATAAAGGAAAAAAAAAAAAAAACTTGGATCTAAGTTCAGAAAGAAAATGAGTTCAATGTGGGGAATATGAGTGGTAGGAGTTCTAAGAAAGCATGTGGCTGGCTTCAGCGTCTTTTGGCAGAACTCAGGAGAGGGACCTGGCCAAACTCCCTTCAGGCCTCCAGCAGCGGAGAATGTCTCACCTAGCCAGTACAGAGGGCCCCACAAAGTAGACTCATCTCCCTTGCCTGTGGATCACTTCACAGTCTGTAAAAACAGAGTGGAAGGTTCTTCTATGGTGAAGAAAGCAAAAGCAAGGCAGTTTGTTCAGCATCTGCTATAGATTGTGGGAGGTGCATTCATATGCTGGGCTTTATTGATATAAATAATTTTGTCATGAAGCATCATCAGTACAAAGGTAAATAAATCAATTGCATTTTGTCATTATGTATAATCATCAAGTTTTGTGTTATATAATTTATCAACTGTCAGCCTTGAGTAAAGCACTTTTCATTGAAGTATTTATTTGCAGACCGCAAGATGACTTATGATCCTCAATTTGCTTCAGTTTGTTCTTCAGAGCTTCATCACTTATGTTCTAGTGCTTTAGGGCTCACAGGTCACTGATCAGCCTCTAACAGGAGGGAAAGAGAAGTATCTACCTGAAGAACAACTACCCTTAAGGCTCCTCTCTGATGAAGGAGGGTACAGGCAAGAGAGGGAATAAAGGAAACATACCTGTCATGAAAACCACACCCTCAGGAGCTGCCTTACAGCAATTAATACAGAAATGCAAGGCAATCCCCTTTGAATTTGAGCCAAGAAATCTCTAGAGAAAGAGCACTGATTCAGTTAAGTGAAAAAGAATAATTTGAAATATTTTAACTTTGTTAGTAATCTTTAAAGAGTTCTATAAAAATGACCATTTAAATGTAACTTTTCCCAAATATCTAACCATGATTTCAGAGGTCTGTAAGAGAATTATTCCTCTATCCATCTCTGGTTTCCATCTTCTAACTTCTTTAATTTTTCATCTTATAGAAGAAGCTACCAGTACACATGGCCAAAGAAAAATCTTGCCTGAATGTACTATATCAATGTCTAAGTTACCTCATCCTTCATTTCATCTGCCAGAGTTATATTTTTGTAGAATTACATTTTTCACTGCCTCTAGGGGAGTGAAAATGTGGAGAGTTCTCTAAGCTGGCACCTCCAATTTTTCATGTGTTTAAAAAGCTGCCTTCTTTCTTCTTGCCTCTTCTTCTCTTGAGGCTAGTCCTTTTGGCAAGTTGCCTTTTCCTGACTTCTCTAAGGACTAGTTCTTAGTGCACACCAGAAGAGCTGCATCTGTCTTTCTTCTTGACCTACAAGTCTGTTTAAAGCCACAAACTTCCCATATGTCAATTGTTTTCCTTCAGCTAGTCATCAAGTTAAGAGAACAAAACCACACTCAGCAAAGATATTCATTCTCATTCCCCAAACCAGGAGGTACATGTAGAGATAATCAAGGATCTATTGAAGAATTCTGGATAATGGTAAAATCTGGAGACAATATGCCAAGTGAGGTTGGAATAATTCTAAAAATGCATGTCCTTGAATACAAAACCAAAACAAAAAACAACAACAAAAATAACCCCAAACCAGTTGCTGCCAAGTTGATTCCAACTCATGGCTACCCCATGTGTTGCAGAGTAGACCTATGCTCCACAGGGTTTTCAAGGGTGTGATCTTTTAAAAGCACATCACCAGGCCTTTCTTCCAAGGTGCCTCTGGACGAATTCAAACTGGCAACTTCTCAGTCAAGACCTTAACATTTTGCACTGCCCAGGGATCCTCCTTAATGAGGACCTACATTGTCTACTGTAGCAGTATACAGCTGAGTAGACATCTGAAGCCATTTCCCTGCTCTATCGATATACCACCACAGAAACCATCTGCAGCGCTGTGAGACAGCAATAGAGTGGATAAGTCTGGAATCAGATTTGGGCTCAAATCTTGGCTCTAGAAATTTATAGCTGTGTGACTCAGAGCAGGTCACTTAATCTGGTTAAGCCTCAGCTCTCTTATCTGTAACACCGGCATTAACAGTACCGTGTACATAAGGTTGTTATCAAGATTAAATGAGATGATCATATACAGTTTTCTGCACTCATATGTACAGTAACCATATGCAGTGTAGTAAATTACTTTGTTTGGCTTTTCTACCCATAAGTCTTTGTAAACTCCAAGGTGAAATTTTCTATGAGCAAGTGAAGAGCTCCTGATTGCTGAAGGTGTCCACCTGGAATATTTCTGTTGGGAGAGGCACAAAACAATGTTCTGGGAGGTGCCCACTCTCTCTCAGGTGCTTAGAGTTCTGATGCTATAATTGGCTAGTTTGACCACCCTGTGGGCTCTAAAGGAGACCTCCTGGAGGCAGAGCTCTCTCTGACTGCTGGTTGAAGAAGATGTGCTGCTGAAAGAGACACGGGCTCCTGAGACACGCATTGCTGAGTGAGACACCGAGGGACCAGCACTGCTGGGAAAGAGACTGTGAGAGACTCTTGGCTGAGGGACGGTGGGCTGGGAGAGAGACTGAGCGTTCTTCCTGAACTTGAGTTTTAGCCTGGTGCTTCCCTAATAAACCCTGTAATCTGTGAGTTCTGTGTGGCCACTGCAGTGAATTATCGAACCCAGGAGAGAGGTGGTGGGTGCTTTGGGAGGAACGGTTGGTGAAAGGGCTGGAGGGAGGCAGCATGTTTGGCCTTGCAGTAATAGGCCTTGGGTTACTGCTGTCTTCCTCTTGAGAGATTAGAGGAGGTCAGAACATGTGGCCTCCTTGCCGTTTTTGCACCATACTTTTGCTGTCCTGAGGTAGAGAGATCAGAACACAAAGTTCACTAAAAAGCTTCCCACAATTATTGCCCAATCTTAATTCTGAGAGCACCTGTGGTCAGCATTGACCAAAAGCCACTTTGTAACTGGAGACCATGTTATTTCACAACTAAAAGAATGAATTTATGTTTCTGATGCTTATTCTGTGCATCTTCTCTGTTATATTCCACCAGGCACATCAGATCACATACCAGGCAGGCAGGCAGGGGCTGGAATGTAGTCTGTCCTCATGTTGAGTAATAAAGCTCAGGTTTGCAGGTAGGGTACCTGGACTTGTATCTAGTTTACTCCTACTGTTCTTCAGAATATGCAGTCTTCTCCTTGGGGTTGCAACTAGTGGCTTGATTCAGGACACAAAGCTAGCTAAACTAAACCACAGAATAGAAACCTTAAACTTTCCAAAACACTATCAGCGTCATCTTCAGTTGGTGGAGGTGTTATACCCTAGCTGCTGAGGGGAGCCTGATATAGGCCAGGGGAGGACACAAGCCCACAAGCCCAAAGATTGTCCCATCTCTGTGGTGTCTTACATTTGGTTGCGGAGAGCTGGGATTTATACTGCCCTCGGACCAGCCGGCAGGTGGACCCATCTCCATTGCAGACCCCACAGTTATCTTCCTTGACGGTGCTTCCCAGCTGGTGATCACAGCCAACAATCTAACAAGAAAGAGAGATGTGAATTCAACTGGGCACCTACCCATGGAAGGCTCCATTGTGAGGCCAATCACCACCAAATTACCCTCTCTTCCTCCCTGAGGAGGCATAAAACATATTTCCCATGAAGGGGACTGAGTTCAACTGGAATTTGAGCCAAGCTGAAAAATAAAAATGTAGCATGTTTTTATAGTTCAAATACATAACAGAAAGTGAGAGAGGAAAAAAAGATCCTGAAATATTAATGTTGTTGTTGGGAGCCACTGAGTCTATTTTTTACCCATAGCTACCCAACGTGACAGACCAGAACTGCCCAATAGGGTTTTCTAGGCTATAATCTTTATGGAAGCAGATTGTCAGGTCTTTTCTCCCACAGAGCTGCTGGGTGAGTTTGAACTGCTAAGCTCTTGAGTTAGCAAGCAAGTGCTCAATCACTGTCTCACCAAGCTCCTTATTAATGTTATAGATCCTTAATTAAAAAAAAAATAGTTCTGTCAGTAATTATGATTCACCCAAACGAACAAATACCACCATGAAGGAACTGCAACAGGAAACATTTTAAAGCCTTTTAGAGTAATGCATTATCTCCATGTTCTATATGTTCCCTCAAATATAAATTGCATAGGGGTTGAGGTTTTGTATGGTGAATTCACTGATATATTCTAAGCAACTAGAACAGAGTTTGGCAAATTGCAGGCCCTCAATGAGTATCTGCTGAATGATAATCTAAATACTTTTGTAGCTAGCACCTGAGGTAGGAAAGAGGATCTGCTGACTGAAACAAGGATAGTATATGTGTGTGTGGTGGGGCATGTAGACATGGAGGACAGTAGAGATGACTAACACAGAGCCCTACTATTTGATTGGCCTTATCCTGCACCAGTCACAATACAAGTATCTCATTAATTGCCAATTTTTCTGGTTACCTAGTGGCACTCTGATAGGAATATACCACAAATAGGATGGCCTTAACAAACAGGAGTTTATTCTCTTACAGTTTGGGAGGCTAGAAGTCCAAGTTCAAAGTGCCAGGCTCTAGGGGCTGGGGGAAAGCCCTTCAGCCTTGGGCTTCAGCTCTGCCTCCAGCTCCCAGCCCAATGAAGCTAGAGGTTTTTCTTCACTCAGACAGCTGCTGGCTGCTGAGGCTGACAAGCCCAAGGTTGACAAGTAAAAAGGCACAGTCCTGATGTTACCAAACCACATGGCAGGCCATTCATTCAAGTCCATTGTAAGTCCCAAGGTTGGCAGAGCATGGCAGGCTGCTGAACAATGACGTGGCTACATGCAGGGTTCAAGCATGTCATAAGCTAGAGACCATTCCCAAAGCTGTTTCTTATATACAGGATGCAAACCACATACCCAGAGGCAGCTACTCAGCTGCTCACAGTAGATTCCACCATGGAGTTGATTACCAGTCTCATCATGGGGAATACTACATCCAGCTGCCCAGCCATTCAACCAGGCCTAGCCAAGCTGACACACAAACTTAACTACCACCCCAATATGGTCATGTTAGTTATTAGTATCCCTGTTTTGTAGTGAAGGCTATGAATCTTGTCCCACATCACTTAGCTAATAAGCAGGAGAGCTCTAAATACATCTAACAAAAACTTCTATGCTTATTTCAAACTGGCTTAAATCACTAGCCTTTATTATAAATGTGGGCAAATTCATCTGAATCCTTACTCTTTCCTTTCTAATACTGGAATTAAAATAAATTCAAATCCCAACTGTACCAGGTTGTTCTAGTTAGATCCCATACTAAAGACTTTTTCATTTTCAAACTACTTCAGCTACTTCTTTGACAAAATGAAAATTGTACTAACATTTGAAGAGGCTTATCTCTACCAAGCCCTCACAATTCTTCCTGCCTTTTAAAAATCTGGTTGTTAATGTGACTTTCTTTGAGGCTTGATTTTCCTTTCTGTGGCTCTAATAATTGCAAACACATGTTTAGGCAAGAGTTTCACAATATAATTATTTAATATTGTGTTATACAAGTGTTATGTTTTTTAAAAATATGGCAATGTGCATTTTTTAAAATTAAAAACAAAAAAACTATTTTCAAAAAATAGATGACAGAGTAACTTCCTCTAACAGATGCATATTTTTTTTTTGGAAATGCAAGGATCAGGAAAGCACAGAATTAGGTTCTAAAGTGAGGAGCAAAGACGAATTGGCTCTGTCCCTGTAGATTCACTGTGGTCAAGCAGCAGGTCTTCTCAATCTGTTCAGAGGCTACAGTGAGGCCAACCCAGAATTCATCCAAGCTTCATCCAAGCAGAGCTAAGCACATGATGGCTTAAGAGTTCTTTGGTGTTCTTCTGTGTAACTGCAGTAAGATTATTTTCAAAAGGGTTATTATAGCTGGACTCACCAAAAAAACCAAACTCACTGACATCGAGTCAATTCTGACTCATAGTGACTGCCATAGGTTTTCTGAGGTGATAGATCTTTATGAAAGTAGATTGCCCCATCTTCCTTCAGTGGAGCAGCTGCTGGGTTTGAACTGCTAACCTTCTGGTTAGCGGTCAAATGCCTTAGGCACTCTACCACCAGAGCTCCTTCTATATCGACTTACACATGAGCTGATTAATTCTATTCACTCTTAGACTCCAAATACAGTATGAAATAGGAATGTAGAACTACCTTCTTTGCAAAAATATATTTAATCACTCAACCAACATTTTTGAGGACTCATTATAGGGAAAGGCACTGTGGTAGGTACTTGGGATTCAGTGGTGAATTTAAGCATACATAGGCACACCCCTCATGGAACTTACAGTCTAGTGGTGAAGGTAGATATTACTCACATAATCACACAAAATAAATGTAAAATGATAATCCAGATTAATTCCAAGAACACAGGTACATAGTGCTCTGAGAGCATAAAATATGGAAAATTTGATCTAGTTATGAAGGAGAGAGAACACTTCCTGAGGAGTCTTTTGGGATGAAATATGAATGAGGAATCAGAATTAACTAGATAGAAAGGAGATATTGCTGTGAGGTTCACCATGTCTTCCAGATGCCAGCTCTGGAGGCACATTGGTTAAAGGTAATCAAAAGGTCGTTAGTTCAAATCTGCCAGCTGCTCTGAGGGTGAAAGATGAGGCAATCTGTGTTTGTTAAGAGTTACAGCCTTGGAAACCTTGTGGGGAGTTTCTACTCCATGATATAGGGTTGCTATGCATCAGAATCAACTTGATGACAGTGTTTTTTTTTTTTTAAAAAAAAAAAAACAACTAAAAAACCAAACTCACTGCCATCAAGTCAGATCTGACTCATAGCAACCCGTCCTGAGGTTTCTGAGGTTTCTGAGGCAGTATCACTACAGAAGTAGACTTCCCAACCTTTCTTCCAAGGAGTGGCTGGTTTGGTTTTTTCAGACACTAGTTAATAAGGAAGTAAGCAAAAATAAGTCAGTGAGAATAACAACAACAGAATGTCAAAAGACTAAACCATCTGATTACATTAATAGGATTAAATCCTTTGAGGAGACATGGCAATATTAACATAGGTAGCATTCAAAGAATCATAGACTCTACTCTTGTTGAATAGGGTTGAAAAACTATGGCCTTAATCTTACAAGTTCCTCAGCTCTGTGGATGGGCAAGATGGATAGTGAACAGGAAAATATACACTCTCAGATGCCTTAGTCCTAACTGGATTCACCCCTTAAATCACAGGAATTTTGTTTCTGAAAGGATTTAAGTTTCTTGGAAAACATTTTAATGGACTCTGATATCTCTAAAAGAGGCAAAGTTGTTGTTAGGTGCCATCGAGTCATCTCCGACTCATAGTGACCCCATGCACAGCAAAACGAAACACTGCCTGATCCCACGCCAGCTCCACAATCCCTGCTATACTTGAGCCATCATCGCAGCCACCGTGTCAATCCATCTTGTTGAAGGCCTCCTCCTCTTTCATCGACCCTCCACCTTACCAAGCATGACATCCTTCTCCAGGGAATGGTCCCTTCTTACAACGTGACCAAAATAGGTAAGACGACGTCTGGCCATTCTTGCTTCCAAGGAGCATTTCAGGTGCACTTCCTCCAGGACAGATCTGTTAGTTCTTTTAGCAGTCCATGGTACCTTCAGCATTCTTCACCAGCACCACAACTCAAAAGCATCAACTCTTCTTCAGTCTTCCTTATTCATTGTCCAGCTCTCACATGCATATGAGGCAACTGGAAATATCATGGTGTCAGGCACACCTTAGTACCCAAGGAGACTGGGGGGAAGAATTGGCAGTGACATATCGGACAAAGGACTTATCTCTAAAATTTATAGAAACATTCAACACCTCAATGACAAAAAAGACAAACATTCAATTAATGGGCAGAGGACATGAATGGACATTTCACCAAAGAAGACATTCAAGCAGACAACAAACACACAAAGAAATGCTCATGATCATTAGCCATTGGAAAGATGCAAATCAAAACAATGAGATATCATCTCACCCAGCAATAATAGAAAAGTTCCACAAGGCAGAAAACAACAAATACTAGAGAAAGTGTGGATAGATAAGAACTCTCACACATTACTGGTTAGAATGTAAAATAATACAACCACTGTGGAAAACGCTTCCTTAAAAAGTTGGATCTAGAAATACCTTATGGTCCATCAATTCCACTACTAGGTGTACATCCCAGAGAAATTAAAGCTCTGACATGAATAGATATGTGCACATCCATGTTCACTGGAGCAATATTCACAAAAGCAAAAATGTGGAAGCAATCTAAGTGCCACCAATGTATGAATGGATAAACTATAGAATATTATACTATGTTAAAGAACAATGATGAATGTACAAAACATCTCATAACATAGACAAACATGGAAGACATTATTCTGAGTGAAATAAGTCAATCACAAATGATAAATATTGTATGAGACCACTATCATCAAAGTCAAGAAAATATTTGTACACAGAAAGAAACATTCTTTGTTGGTTACCAAGAATGGGAGGAGAAAGGAAGGTGAGTCAGTAACTAG